TTTAGGGCTTAGGGTTTGGGGTTATACCTGGAGCCTCCATTGTAGTTCCTTGTGTGGTTTCACTTATTTTGGAATAAGGATCCTAAAAGATAGCCCCAAACAGGAACTGCAATGGAGACTATAGGTAGTAGCGACACGAAACGGACCAAGCGCTGTGCACAGGTCATGACTTGCCGCGCCCCCTGTCCCTTGTGGAAAGTAAGGTTTTGTACAGTAGTGATTGCTACTATGGTTTGAGTAAGTATTCCCCGCTAAGGTACATCGAACCCATTTGGGTGCTGCAGACAAGTCACAGCTGATCACAAGCGCAGATGAGATGTTAAGGCCTAAACCCCAAACCCTAAACCCCTAAACCCCCAAACCCCTTAACTCCTAAACCCCCAAACCCCTAAACCCCTAAACCCCTAAACCCCTGAACCCCTTAACCCCCAAACCCCTATAAACCTTAAGCCCGAGGGTTCTCAGAGCAAGGTGTGGCCTGGCGCACAAGAGCTGAGGGTGGTGTTGTAGCTCACCAGGGAAGGGTCAAGAAGAGCCTGCGGCAGGCTGTGAAACCTTGGCGGCAACGCGGGGGTTTAGGGTTTGAGGGTTTGGGGGCTTAGGGTTTGGGGTTTGGAGTTTGCAGATTTAGGGTTCCGGGCTTGAGGGTTTAGCGGGTTTAGGGTTTATTGTTTTTGGGTGTTTAAAGTTTAGTGTTTTGTGGTTTGGGGGTTTAGGGTCGGGACAAGAGCCCTTGAAAGGAAGCCTAAATTAACGATGGTCCCTAGCGCAAGAAAGTAAACTTTAGGGTTTAGGGTTCCTATAATACACCCTAAACCCTAAACCCTAAACCCCAAGCCCTAAACCCTAAACACCGAAACCCCTAAACCCTAAACCCAGCAAGTAAGTGTAGCAGAGACTCAACCACAGGGCTCGCTGCCAGAGCTGAGCGCGGCTGCAAGAACCAATGGCTGCGTTGTAGCTCACGATATCCTGAGATTTACTTAGGACCTAAGGGCTGAGTACCCCAGCCCCAAAAAGGATAACCTTTTGAATTATAAACCCTAAACCCTAAACCCTGAACCCTAAACCCTAAACCCTAAACCCTAAACCCTAAACCCTTTTGAATTATAGTAGGGCTCTATAAGCCCCCAAAAGGTTAAAGGTTACCTACTCGGCCCCTGGGTTTAAGGTTCAGGGGCTTAGGGTTTAGGGTTTAGGGTTTAGGGTTTAGGGTTTAGGGGTATCCTGACATTTAGGCTTCAGGGGTTTGGTGTTTACGGAACACATCATAGCTCACGGTAGCCTGAGATTGAGACTTTAGTACTTCGGGGCTTCAGTAAGAGCTTCAGCGTTTAGGATTCGGTGTTTGGGGCTCTAGGGTGCAATTCAGGCTTTAGGGTGTGCAGTTGCTTTATAGTTTTGCGAGAAGAAGTGGGATTTGCTTTGTAGGGTTAGGGTTTGATACCGTTTAACGTACCTTTTGGCAAACGCAGGCCCCACGGTAGCCCTTTCTGTAGGGTTTAGGGTGTAGGGTTAAGGGCTTAGTGTTTCTATTCCGGCTTTGTATGCAGACTTTTGGGATTTAGAGCTTGGCAGGCTAAGCTCTGCATCACTCAAATAATATGGGACTTATGGCTAACTCATGTTAACTCCTAGAATAAAAATGGAACCCAAAATCCTAAACCGAATGTTCCTCAGAAGTAGCAGCAGCAGCAGCAGAACAAATCCAAAATCCGAAGCAAATGCTGGAATGCCAGAGCCCCAAAACCCACATCCCAATCTTGCTCGGATCCTTTGAAACCCAACCCTACACCAAAAGCCAGCCCGAAGTGACACGAGCTTGAAAGCACAGCGAACAAGAACCTATAAATCCTAAAGGTATAGTTCCTGAGCTCTCTCTCTCTCTCTCTCTTTCACTCTGTGTAGGGAACAAGGGAGGTGAATAAGGGCCCTAAGCCCAAGATCCAACCGACCCAGGCCCGAAACTACAAGAAAGGCACTACACCCATCAGTGTCCCAAGCGACTAGGAGACCACCTGCACGACTTGAAGTACTTGGTAGTTAGGCATTTGGGTTTGGGGCGGCATTAGGTGTAACTACACCATGACAGTGTATGGCTACTAGGTAGCTGGAACATTGGAGTTATGAAAATTGCAGCAAACCTGACCCCTCCGCAGTTCCCAAAACATCCGAAGAACCCATCTAGTAGAGTGTAGGGTGTCTATATTAGGAATTCCTAGTATTACGTAGGGAAGTACCCCCTATTACTTATTACGGTACACAGGACCGTTTGGGTTTATGAAATTCGAGCTGCCGCCCGTAGGTGATACTGCGGAATGGATTGGAACAAATGCAGCGCCCGTGTCCAATGACTGGCCTGAGGATTTGCTTCAGAGTTGAGCGGGTTTAATTAGGGGTTAGGGCTAGGGATTGGGTCAACCTACTGCTACCACTGCACAAAATCTTGCAATATGTGCATATAACAAGGACGCAACCGTACTTTCCGTTAGGTTCGGGCACCTCGCCATCAGCCGTTTCAAAAAAAAAGAGAATAGCCATACAGTTTAACAGCCCTCCCCCCAACCCCCCAAGCACGGAAACTCGAAATCCCAAAACAAAAACCAAAATCCCAAAACACCTTAACACCCCTCATGCCCTACTAACTCCCGACTTCCCTCTAAACCCTCCGCCAACCTTCTCACAGGAGCTGATGGCAGCATTGAAGCTGACCACATTCGGCGCGAGCCTTTTCAGAAAGTTTCCTTAAAGGGTTTAGGGTTCATATCCCATATAAAATGATATAAACCCTGCATTACCTTAAGGACCCTAAATACTGGGAATTATGGGTATGTTCCTTAATATGGGTAATGCAGGATTATATATCATCAACCGTATGTAAGGTTATGGGGGATACTTCCCTCAATCATATGGTCATTACTGATGTAGAAACTCTAACCCTGCATTCTGAATCCTAAACCCTAAACCCCATTCTACTGTATAGGTACATGGGAGCCTTTGGGTACGGAACCTAACCACGCCTCCACTCAAATCCCATGTTTGGAGCAGGTCAGGGAAACGACATTCATCCAGGTTTTGGAAGGTTGTTCGGTGCTTTACAAGTTCTTTCGTTGCTGTTTGAAGGGTTTTTTGATGTAAACCCTAAACCCTACAAAGGACTTCGGGCACCCCCAGCCAATTGAAACCGCTGTAAGATGTATGGTAGAAACCCAAAAGTAGGGAAACCCAGTAGCCTCGCTCCTTAAGAGTTATGTATGTAGGGAATCCCAGCACGACATGTCACCAATCCGGTTTCCAACTTTTTGTGGTTTGCATTAGGGGCCTCAATGATTAGGATAGGGTGTTATATACTATGTTTTTGGACCATCCGGGGGGTAGCATGATATGCTAGGCTGTTGAGAAATCCACTAGGAAAAAGCAGATACCCTAAACCCTAAACCGTATAGACCCTAAACCCTAAACCCTCAACCCTACTTCAAGTTATATAAGGAATCCATAAGTGGAAAACGCAAAAATGCATAAACATGAAAACCACTGTCCAAACCAGGCTACAAAACCCTAAACCCTAGAACCTAAACCCTAAACCCTAAACCCTAGCCCTAGAACCCTAGAACCCTAGAACCCTAAATCCTAAAACCTAAACCCTAAACCCTAGAACCCTAAACCCTAAACCCTAAACCCTAGAACCCTAGAGCCCTAGAGCCCTAAACCCTAGAACCCTAGAACCCCAAAACCCTAGAACCCCAGAACCCTAAACCCTAAACCCTAGAACCCTAGAGCTCTAGAGCCCTAAACCCTAGAACCCTAGAGCCCCAAAACCCTAGAACCCCAGAACCCCAGAACCCTAAACCCTAGAACCCTAGAGCTCTAGAGCCCTAAACCCTAGAACCCTAGAACCCCAAAACCCTAGAACCCCAGAACCCCAGAACCCTAAACCCTAAACCCTAAACCCTAGAACCCTAGAGCCCTAGAGCCCTAAACCCTAGACCCTAGAACCCTAAACCCTAAACCCTAGAGCCCTAAACCCTAGGACCCTAGGACCCCTTTTTTTTAGGAGCCCGGGAACTCTGAGCTGCACATCCGACGGAAGATCTGACAGGCAAGCTGCCACTGGGCCTAAGCAAGAGGCCCAGGCTTCGGGTTTAGGGGTTCAGGAGTTTAGAGTTTAGGGTTTAGGGTTTAGGGTTTAGGGTTCAGGATGTAGGGTTTAGGATTCTTCGGTTTAGAAGTTTCGGGTTAAGTAGGGTTTTAGGGTCCATGTGCAAGAATGCCCTACTTTTTGGGTGGTTCGGGGCTGATTAGGGTTGATTTGGGGTTAGGGTGTCGGGCGATTTAAGGTTTGGTATTTAGCGTGGTGGCCCGAACCGCGAACCCGAAACCGTACATCTTCATTCAGCCCAAATATCCTGAACCCCGCCGTAAAAAGAGACCACCCAGACCCCCGCAAGGATCTAGAAAGTAGCTCCCCTAGTTTGGGACCTCATACTACCAAGGGGTACTTTGCAGGAACCCCCGTTGAGGGATCTACTTTTTGGATCGTATATTCTTTACTATGGGTCATGCAGGATTTTATCATCAACCGTAGGGGTACCCTTGCTATTCGAGTTCGGCTTTGGTACGACGACCAACACGAAAATGAAGGGGGCAATCAGTAGTTATCCCAGATCGGGAGTTGAGGGCGCTTGAATGTTCGCTTTGGGTCTAGAGTTTGTTTGTTTTTTTCGGATTCGGGGCAGTCGCTCCAGACTCAAACGGAGGTCCTCGACAGTAGCTAGCCGGGAGAAGGATGAATCGGCCTTAACGGTCAGACTAGGGTTCTGGGACATGTTGTACAGCCATGCTAAGGAACCCTAAAGGGTTATCATTTAGTTTTCTATGGTCTTCGGGGCCGGGGACCTGAGAATCTTAAGCAGGCATACTAGCCACAAGCCCTAACCCCTGAAGCCTAGGGTTTAAGGTTTAGGGTTTAGGGTTTAGGGTTTAGGGTTTAGGGAAACCCGAAACCCCAGTAGCTGCAAACAGAACACACCCTTCTCACAGGCACTGATCGTGGCACTGCAGCTGACCACGTTCAAATCAATGCCTCTGCTGAACTTGGTACCCTGGCAAAAATAGATCTGTTGCTGTTTCTTAGGGATTGCAATGACCAAATATTCTAAAATTGCTTCAAAACGCCCCCAAGATGCTAGCAGTTGCCATGCTTGCAAATAAATGCAGCGCCAACTCCCAGCATCCGCCCTTCTCGCCTCAGCAGTACATCGCAACGCAGGACTTGGGTAACTGCCTGGAGGGTCCCACGGTCATGCCCTACCCCTTTTTGAGGGTACCTAGTTTTCAGGTTAGACTCTGCTATATTATAGAAAATGGGCATCCTAACAACAGTGTAGGGTGCGACCCTCGAGGTACGGTTTAGGATCTACACTAATTAGGGTGTAAACGCAGGATTGCAGCAACACAGGTGTCTTGTGAGTTAGACAAAGATTTCTGGGTACATGGGACTGTGCGAAGCTAGCATGGTTATTTGCACAATATTTGTCTTGACAAAACAATCACACCCCAGGAAAACAAACGAGCAACGGGCTCAACTAAACAAGCCACAAGGTGCAACAGGTCGTGCATGAGACTGCCTACCTGAGTCCTCAGATTGCCGAGAGACAAGCACTGATGGCAGCACTGTAACTGACGACATTGGGAGCCAGAGTAGCGGCTGGCATGGCACACAGCAGCTGAACAGCTCTCTGCCACTGCCCCGCCTTCTCGATTCAGGTTTAAGGTCTTGGGGTTTTGGGGGCTTGTTTTAGCTTTGGGGTTTAGGGTTCAGGGTTTCAGGTTTAGCATGTTGGCGCGTGTTGGGTTTTGGGGTTTTGGGTTTAAGTTCTAGGGCTTCAGGGTGTGAGTCCTCGGCCAGCTATTTTTTAGTGCCTTAACACGTAGAATAGAGTTGGACAGGTATATTAGGATTTAGGGTTTATAGGGCTTGGGGGAGTTGATGTTTGGGAAATTCAATACGGTATTTTATGCCGACATCTACATTGTCTGCAATACTAGGCCAAGGTACGTTGCACGAAGGGCTTGATGGCACTTCATGTGGATACTTGCGGGCTTGTGCTGTAAACTTGACGGTTCATGGGCAGATTTAACTGTTAGTGTTTAAACCTGCCTGCCTGATGTGGGCTACACGTAACCTGACAGGCAGCTGTTCATGAACATGATATGTATATATATATATATATATGTGTGTGTGTGTGTATAGTTACTCAAGTTACTCACATTAACGACGTGCTTAAGTATTTCGGGTAGAGGGGTTCGGGGAATGAGCACGGCCCCAAGTATCGTCCCAAGGCCCGAAAACACAAAGTCGCAACCCGAGCCCCCAAAACGCAGCCATGTGATTTTGTCAGGTCGGCGTAAAGGCCCATGTGGCAGTAGTAGTACGAACTACGGCTGTAAAGGGGTTACTATATAAGTATTGTATGGACAAAGCATAAAAGACTGTGGAGGGAAAAAATCTTGGAGCGGTGCCTTCTCACAAGAGCTTATGGCGGCGCTGTAGATGATGACGTCAGGGGCAACGGAATCTGCTCCCATGGAAGCAAAGAGAATCATAGCCGGCCTAGTCCGGATTGAGACAGAAAGCTTCGGACTTTGGTCATACTGTGAGGGCAGACTGGGCAACTAATGCTAGCTATCCTATAGCTGAGACCCAAAGTTTAAGGGGCCCTCAGCCTGTCGTAAGCCATCCCCGAAGCTCTAGCCCTTCCGTTCGATCTGGCCCTCAACCCTAAACCATAAATCTGGGCACTAGGCCTGGCCTCCACTGCCCGAATTTCTCGCAACAGCTTATGGCCGCGCTGTAGCTGACAATGTTCGGAGTGATCCTGGTTGTAGCTGCCAGGGTGCTACAAACCTCAACTAAGACGTTCACGCAGGTTGCAATGCGAATTTTGTATGCGTTCACAGGCTCCTGGCGGGCAGTTTCAAGCCACCAAGGTCTCTTGCCAATAGTTACGTCTACCGTAAGAGCGATTGACAAGTATGCCAAACTGCCACCACGCATCTTGGCACTCCGGAGCTTTCTGAAGAGTTGCAAAGCCTTAGGGGCTGAGTACCCTGGCCGAAAAAAGGCTAACCTTTTAGGTTATACTACGGTTGATGATAAAAAAAAACCTGCATTACCCATAAGAAGGAATATGCCATAATTCCCATAGTTTAGGGTCCTTCAGGTAATGCAGGATTTATATTATCAACAGTAGTACTGTACAGGCTCCAAAAGGCTACAGGTTACCTACATAGAGGCTGAGTACCCTGGCCCAAACCGATGTTAACCTTTTACGTTATGCTAGGAGTATGCAGGCCTGAAAAGGTTAAAGGTTAGCTACTCAGCCCCTAAGAAGCCGTCTGCCAGTGTCCACCCTTTTCGCAGGCGCTGATCGTGGCACCTTGCGGAGTTTTGGGTTTAGGGCTTAACGCTTAGGATTTAGGGTTTATAGTTTAGGGTTTACCCTAACCCCAAGTAACCTACCTTCTGTAAGGACTCACGTCAGGAAAAGTCAACATGAGGCACCCGAAAAAAGGTAGGTTTTATAGGGCCGAGGTCGGTTCTGCGTTGTGGTATCTTACTTGTCCAGTATCCTAGGGGAGCGAAAGGGCAGCCTTCGGAACTCTACAAGGAGTGGAGTTTAGGGTTTAGGGTTTATAGGGTTTGGCGTACCCCCCAAAAGGTTTCAAGGAAGCCTGGTTACCTACTAGAAGCCTAAAAGTTGGAACCCAATAGCCTCGATCCTTAAGAGTAATGTATGGGGAGTCCCAGCACTATTTGTCCTTAATCCGGCTTCCAACTTTTGGAAGTTTACTGTAAAGTGTATCCATCAGTTCGACCCCAGCCAAAAGTAAAAGACAACTACCCGAACAAAGGCACTGTAGCTGATGATGTCCGGTGTGCACTGGGTATCCAGCATAGATGCGAAAAGCTCCAGTGCTGCTTGCCAGTGCCCGCTTTTTTCACAACAGCTGATGGTTGCATTGTAGCTGATGACATTTGGGACAACCTGACAAAGTCGAGTTTGAGCCGTCCCCGAACATTGACTCCAACGTGGTAACCCCACGCACAACACCCTAACTGAATCCTGATCATGAGATCCACTTCCGCATATGATATGCGTAGTGATGAACATCCTGTGATTACTGCTAACATCAGACGTTGTATGACTTACGGCTACAGCCATCATCGCAAGGGATACCATAGACCAAGTCCCAAACCTGAGTGCTCCGCATGGAGTCAAAAAGCCCCACGGCGCATTGCCACAGCACGCCCCGGGCACAGCTGTGGATGGAGGTAGAGTAGCTGATCACGTTCGGACTCCTAGTGAGCACTGACAGCCGTCCAGCCCAAATTTCGCGAGAAAACCAACTGTCAACCTGTTCCAAAGACTTCGCAAATTCAACTGTATCTATGCTGTGCGTTCTGCTGGTTGTTGCCATGGGACTAACTTACGGGGAGAAACCAGAATCCACAAAAAGAAGAGCTGCGGGAAATCTAATGCGACACGCACATCCATAGCAGCAGATGTAGAAAACTCCTTTTCGGTACATTTCATCTGCAACATGACAAGCTTGTACTATACGACAATCTAGCACGGCAGTTCTAGACTAAAATGTTCCTTGGGTGAGCTACGGTAGCCCACCCTCACATTCTAAACCCTGAACTGCCCTAAACCCGAAACCCATACACTAAAAATGGTCTAAGCAATACGGCCCATGCTTCGGGCTCAGGGTTTACACACTCCAGGGTTTCGGGTATAGGGTTTCTCGCTTCCAAGGTGCAGGCCAGCATCCAACATCGAGACGAAGAACTGCAGTGCCAACTGCCATTGTCTGCCCTTTTCGAAGGCATTGATGGCAGCATTGTAGCCTTTTTGAAGTTCAGGGAAAAGGCCGTTGCTTGTCGGGCAATCCCCGTGTTCAGCAGGAAACCAATGGGAGTCCGACCCAAGTAGCCAAACCTAACCTCGAGCTCAAGGTTCCGCCGACCCTTTAGTCCATGTCTCCACATACGAGTCGTATATACTTCGACCCTGAAGTAAACTCTAGGAACCATGTAATATTTTAGGTCCCCTAAAGCCTAAACCTAAACCCTAAACCCTAAACCCTAAACCCTAAACCCTAAACCCTAAACCCTAAACCCCTGAACTCTAGGTCCCCTGCGAACCCTAAAATTCCTGAAACTTGACATCCCTCAAACCCAACGGATTCCCAGAAGACTTGAAACTATCCAAGAAGCTGACAATGCTAGGCACCACTTTCGCCGTCGGCATCGAGCAGAATACCTATAGGGTCATACCCTACCCCTTTTTTGGAGTACCTACTTTTGTATATGGGTGGTTGTCAAAATTATGGTCCCTTTTTGGGTCCTTATTATAATACGGCACCTATTATTTGGGGTACCCCAAAAGGGACCATCATTTTGACAACTACCCATATAGATCCATTAGGTACCTTAAACAAAGGGTGGGGTATGACCCTAAGGGTACCTGGAGAGCCTTCTCCCAGTGCCGGGCCCTTGCACACGCACTGATGGCGGTGTTGAAGTCCTCTGCGAGCTTCGGGTAAAATCTTCATTGGCTCAAGGCCTTACAATAGGTTTCAGGGTTTTTAAGGCCGCCAAACCCTAAACCTAACACTAAACCCTGAACCCCCAACCCTAAAACACCTAGACACTAAAGCCGCTACAGACCCTAAAACCCCGAAGCAAGACCCCCTAAACTTACTGCTGCTCGTCCTTGCGAGGGCTGAAGCGCGTTGAGCTCGAAGGCCTTACCCTAAGGGTCCAAGTCGCCTTTATTATAGAGAATATTATAGAACCCTCACTTAACGGAACCGTTGAAGGAACCCGTATAAGTAGTGCCTTTTTCATGGCTTCTGGTACCCAAAAGGCCGCCAAAGAACTGCTTGGATCTTTCAGCTTACTGCTGCGATTCGAGGTTCACCAGCAACCGGCTAGCAACGAGGGTGCCACCGTTCCCTTATTCTAGAAGGGTAGCAGGATACTACTAGAAGGCCATGCCTGCACCCAGCAACGTATTGAATGCCGAACCGGCATGTGGCTTCCGTGCGCCTCACCCTGTTGCCCTAATATTCCATCACACCCAATAACACCTTATGCAAAGCCCCTCTATAGACCATTATAGATTGCAACCTCTAGGATATCCATCTGAAGCATTTGGAAATATAAAATGTCCAAAACCCTTAACCCCTAAACCCTAAACCCTAAACCCTAAAACCTAAACCCTAAACCCTAAACCCTAAACCCAAACCTCTAAACCCAAAACCCAAAACCCTAAACCCTAAAACCTATGACTCCGAGACTCGAAGACGTTCAACTTGAAAGAGCCGTCTGCTGCAAGCGCAAGGAGCATCTCAACAATCAGATCACTCTGCTGCAGCCTCTTAAGCTCCTCTGATGGGTTGTAGGTTTGGAGTTCAGTGATTCTGGTTTAGGGATGCTTATAGGGTTTAGGGTCCAGGGCTTAGTGTTTCCGGGATTGGGCTGTGGGGCCCTGTTGTGGTTGAGCTCGTCAATCACCCACCCACCCACTCGACCGAAACACGCCCTCCTCGCCCACTGCATCCTAAACCCTAAACCCTAAACCCTAAACCACCTAAATCTTCCGCCTTCACCCCCACCGCATCCTCTGCATCCTCCGCCTCCTCCAGCTTCGTCATCACCATCATCATTATCACCAACAACAACAGACAATGGTAATGTAATCGATGATTGTTATAAGTGTGTTATAGCATTATCGTATGGTATGAGCAGGCTGTAAACAACCTATTTGTAACAGCAATACCAATATCCTAAACCCTAAACGTCTTCATGGCTGCTCTCTAAACCCAAAACCCTAAAACCCTAAGCCCTAAACCTTACTAAACCCTAAACCTCTCCTGCAGGACCGCCGTGATGGGCTTCCTTGACCTCCTCTGGGGCTGAAGGTGTGAAGTCAATGCCACCATCACTTCCTGGCGCTGTAAAGGCCGCTCCAACCTTGCAGTGGAAGACTTTGGGCTTTGTTTCTCAGGACTTTCCTAAACCCTAAACCCACGGTTTAGGGTTTAGGGTTTTGGGGCCAATAATTCCACTTTGCCGTTCACATTGCTCATCGTAAAGACATGGAATTGCTGTTGCTGCCGACTGAATCCGCAGACCTAACTGCTTACAGCAACCTAAACCAGAAATCACATTTTCCTAAGTCAGATGCTTTCATACCCAAACAAAACTGCTTGCCATCAGGTCCTCAGGGGACTTCTGCAAGCGCTCCACTACATCGCTCCTGAGATTGGTTGTGATATCTGTTCCGCTGGCATGATGGCTCAGAGGAAGGTTACGCTGGCATGATGGCTCAGAGGAAGGTTACCCTAAACCATATTATAAACCCTAAACCCCTATATGTATATACCCTAAACCCTGAGAGTGTTGGTGTTCACGTAACCGCCCGCAAAACCTGAAGCCATTTTACCCACCCCATTATGAGCTAACCCGATTGCAAGGCTGCTAAAGACCCCAGTATGTGACCTGCTTCATGCCATAGAAGACATGCGGTTTAGGGTTTAGGGTTTATGAACTAGCCCTCCACCAACAATCCTATCAGCTGGAACTTGAAACTTTCTGATCTGGCGGGGTGCTTGGGGATAAGAGGGGCTGTGAGGGTCACAGTTGAGCTTCCCGGACCTACGTGCGATTGAGGGTTTAGGGTTTAGGCGAGAGTTCGTGAGAGATTGAGGGGGTGAGCCTGGCCAGTCTTCGTGCTCTTGGCTCCGGCGGCATCAGGCTATAAGTTTGGCTTCTTACACGGCTTAGGGTCTAAGATGTAGGGGTTCATAGTTTACCCCGAACACTGAACACTAAAATGAAGTTTTCGAGTTTTTGCATGTCGGCTGGAAGCCCAGAAGGTGCAGATGGTGCACGGTGAAATGGAATACTCCGACAAGACCAACCTTGAACATCGACTTCTATGGTTTTTATTGGGTTTAGGGTTGAACGATACGACTTTGTTGCTTTGTAGGTCTCCCTAATGGGATTTCAAAGGGTGCTGGGGACGATCTTTACGCGGATCCAGAAGGGAAAGTTACCGACTTCGTCTGCAGAAGCAAAGCCTTCGGGTCCACGTGCCTATGTTCGGCCGCCAGGTTTATAGGGTTTAGGGTTCACGGCCCAAGGGCCCTCTAACAGAGCCCGCATGGTCCTTCATAAACCCTTCCCACTTGTATTAAACGCTCGCCCTAATACTAAAAGCACATTGCGGCGAAGACTTCCGAAATCATCCCTGCCCTCAAAAACATGTGCTGAACCCTTCACCCCTCAACCCTAAACCCTAAACCCTAAACCCTTGAAGAACAGAAGGCCCCTGACCCTAAACCCGTAAACCCTAAATCCCCCCAAACCCCCCAGCAACCATCCCTCCCCGCTGCTATTCCTACTACTACTAGTATTCTTAGTACTATTGCAACTAATAACCGAAATATGACAGTACAGAAAAAAACACTTTCCGAGTTTTTAACTGGGGGGGAGGGCCCACCCGGTTTAATACCAGGGGGAAGGGATTGGTGGGTATTTGGGGAATAATAGAGGGTGGTTGTCGGGTCAAGGTGGGTTGTATGAAAGCTTCAGAAATCAGCCGGTGTATTGTTTCGGGCGTGGGGTGTAGGGTTTAGGGCTTACCTCAATCCTAAACCTCGGTTTAGGATTGAAGGTTATAGTAGGTTGTATATAAATTGACGTAGGGTTAAGGGTTTAGGCCGCGAAACTTCCCCACCCTGAGCCTGCAAAACCCACAATACTGTTCACGATAGAAATCCTGCGCTACCTTAAGGACCCTAAACTATGGGAATTCTGTTATATTCCTTCTTATGGGTGATGCAGGATTTATGTCATCAACCGTATCCAACTGTCAGCCCCGCACCCCTGAACCCTGAAAGCGTGCTACAGGGCGCAAAATACTTATTGCTTAACCTTGCTGTTCCATTTATCAGATTCAGTGGTGTAGCCATGACATACCATAATATCATAATCCCTAGACCCGGAAACCTGAACAATCCTACACCTTATCCCAAAACCCTGAACTCTACAACCCAAACCTTTTCGGGGCAGCCGAGGTGCAAGGAGTGGAAATGTCGCTGGAATCCAAGGCCAGGACCAAGGTGGTTGGCCAGTAGGCGCATGCTGTAAGGTCAAGGGTTTAGGGTTTACGGTTTGGGGCGTAGGAGTTGAAGTGTTCCTAAAGCTCCAATTACATAGGTTTCTGGGGTATACAATATATGCTTATAACCTACCTATACTATTTAGGTAACTTGAGCTCTAGGGTGTGGGGGTATGTAGGGGTAGGATTTTGGGCCTTTGGTGTAGTCTTTGTGGGTCTTAGGAAGGTTCAGGGTCTTCGTGCTTGCGCGGGGGCCCTAAATGGGAAGACGCCTGCGGAAGCAAATGCAAAGGGACACCTTAGCGCACCCCAGGAGATTTTCAGACCATGTGTATGTTACTGTAGGGGCCTTAATAATTAGAATAGGGTTTGGGGGTATACTATAATCTATAATAATCTTAAGGAATCCACCAAACCCTATTCTAATTATGAAGGCCCCTACATCAACGCGCAGGATTACGGATTATGACGTCATGGTTTTCTTGTAGAACCCTTATAGAAGCCCATATTCTAGAACCCTTTAAAGGAGCCCTTGAAAAGAACCCTATTCTAATTGTTACGGTCCCTCGATTAGACGAACACACTAAGACCTTACAGCCGGTGATCCTTAAACCCTAAACCCTAAACCCTAAACCCTAAACCCTAAACCCTAAATCCTTATTCCCATCCTCTGGGTCCTAAACGCAAAACCCCATGCTCAAACCCATCCCCTCGCCTAAACCCTACACACCCGTCCCCTAAATGGTTTAGGGTTTAGGGTTCAGGGTTTAGGGATCTATAAACCCAGGACCCTAAAATCTCGTCCCTTAAATGGTTTAGGGTTTAGGGTTCAGGGCTCAGGGTTTAGGGATCTATAACTCCAGGACCCTAAAGTCTAAACCCTTAACCCTAGCCCTCGTCTGGCTGCAGGAGGAGAGGCGACGTTCTGCCGCGAGATGCCCCGCTCCAGCCCTTAACGGTTCATGGCTTGGGGCAGTTTAGGGTTTAGAGCGTTAGGGTTCCAGAGTTTAGGGTGTCAGGCTTGAGGGGCTTGAAGTTTCGAGGGTTTAGGGTTTCCAGGGTTTTAGGAATTTTGGGAGTGGGTAATTAGGGTGGTACGATTTGGGATTTGACCAGCGGTTTATGGACGGCTGGGGTCCAGTGGTTTAGCTAGAATCTGCTCAGAATGGCATGTAGGGCTTTTCACAAAAAGACGGCAACAACAAGATGTTTCTAAACATCCGAAAAATCCTAAACCCTACCATCCTAAAACCCTCAACCCTCAAATCCTAAAACCCAAAACACTAATATCCTAACACCCCAAAACCGTAACTTCCTAACACCTCACAAACTAACATCCTAACAGCCCAAAAACCTAAGATCCTATGACCCCAAAACCCAACCCCCCCAAAAAAAAACAAAAAAACTAACATCCTAACCCCAAAAACCAAAGATCCTAAGACTAATAAACCCTAGAAACCCCGAAGAGAAGCCCTTTGCCGACTGAAAGCTCTCGTGGTCTTTCAGATCCTCCGCGCTGCAGTTCCTCCGGCTCTCAGGGTGCTTAGGCTGCTTAGGGCCCTTTCGGGCTCTAGGGTTTTAGGGGATTCGGCTTTAGGGTTCAGGGTTT